TGTTAGTTTAACTGTTTCAAAAGAGTCCTTATTATGACATTTTAACTTTCGCAAGTAATTAATATTACTTAGATGCAATATTGTCTTATCTCGCTACTCAAATTAGGGCATTAATCATTTTTAATATGTTTTCTCGCTAGTGCTTGGAATCATCCTATGTTGCAAGGGCCTCCACATGAAAGTGTACTACAAGGACCCAGTATAGAGGATGTGGTGGCTCTACTTGAGCATAACTTAAGCTACATGGGTTTATCAACTAGCTAGAACTCACCCCTACATTTTATCATCATCTAGGGAAATGTCTAGGTTCCTTCCTTTGCATTCCCCATCACTTCCCTCCTTTTTTTTTTTGAAATCTTATTTCATAAACAAAAGAATCAAATGAAATAAATAAAAGAGAATGGAACATTATTTGTTCTATGAGAATGGACCATAATGACACCATTAAATCTACTATTAGGTGGATTCACTAATATATTTCAAAGAAAGGGCTCAAAAGATGAAAGAACAAACTTTAGAATACAATTACAACATAAAATTTAACACTTTTCGTAGAAGCAATAATAGATTAAGATATGTAAGCTTTTTGAATCGGATCAACAAAAGCATTAAAAAGAGCAATATCTACAATTTGATAACTTCATGAATGAGAAATTATATCAAAGAACCATTCTTCAAAAAGTACTAACATAAGAAACTCTTTTTCATTTATAATGAGATACTCGACAATGAGAAAATTTGAGATCTAATACATCAATGAGAGCACCTACAAATATACAAACTAAAACGTTAGGGGATATCTTTGTGATTGATGGAACACACCAGCACTTCTAGAAATACACATAAAAAAGGTGGCCTGTTGGAGGTTGAAAAGTAAGATGAGGCCATCATCCCAAATTAATAAGAGGTCATAGAAAAGTAAGATAAGACCATCATCCCAAATGGAAAGAAAGGATCTTGACCATTACAAGCGAAGCAGAGTGGGAATCCCAATTGAGGAGGTCCACAACAATAATTTTAGGGCAAGACACGCTTAGGAAAGGATTGACCAACATTCATGAATAATGTATATAAAAGACACTATTATGAAAAGATCTTGGCAAGTTATTAGATGATATCATATGAGATTTATTATTAACAAAACAAAAATTAATATACACATCAATGCATGTTAAAATCTCTCCTTATTTGACATGATAAAAAAGTTTGGTATGAAGGAATAAATATAATAAAATTTTAATTTTTCTCTCCTATTCCCTATCACTTTTGTGGACAATAAGCCGTCTAGTGTCCATGCTATCCACATCTTAAATAATGCTCAATCATCAAAAAATAATATCTAGTAAGTCTCTTGCCACATCGTGAACACTCTGATACTCTTCCCACACTCGTCTGAATTCCTTTCCTTATGCCAGAATATTTACTTCTCTTTTCATTACAATCTCTTCTGGTCATTCATCTCCTAATCTCTTCTTGCACATATCCTATCTAAATAATGGTGTAGCTAAATTATTTTCCACAAATCTTAATCTCTCAACCATATCTAAAAACTACTGAATTCTTAATGGTACAATGGTGTCTCAATTCATTATTCAATCCTCTAAAAAATATGTAACATTTTTCTTCCACTATGTTAAATAACTATGGAGCATACGTTACAAGTGTAGTAAATTCATCTTCATATTGCATCATTGTCTTTTATTCCTGCTCCAATCTCATAAAAGCCTACTGCATTTGTTGTTAGGTTGATGCATGGAGGTACAAACTAATTTCTAAAAAATGAACAAATTGTGCAGATGTAATCTTTACATTTATCTTTCCCAAGAATTTCTCTTGTATCTATTTTATCCACCATCTTTCTGCTTCACACTCAAATAACAATATTACTAGTGACACTTTTCTGCTCTTAGGTTACTACATGCTGCCAAATATTTTATGTATTCCTAACAACTAGTCTTATGCTACCTGGGGTACTATTGCTCCTTTAAACAATGACAACTTCATTTTATAAAACATCTATAAATGTCTATCATCTTTTGGTTCCCTATGTCTAATCCAGTTATTTTGTGCATCACTCAATAGCTATGTTACTATCACTACAGGAAAAACAGCTCTTACCGGCGGCCATA